TATACATGTAAAGAAATAAGTTTATTTATTAGGAAAGAGTTGCAGTTATGCTTAACCTTACTTCACCTTTTAAATATGGAGTCCCAGCCAAGTAGTCACATGGGCTCACTTGGTGAAAGAAACTCAAAACCAACACGTTCTGCATCCAAGTACATGTGATGCAAGATGAACAAACACTCTCAGGCAGAAGAAGACAACGGAAATGCACACATTTACATACAATGCCTGGAATAAATGCTTAGGAAAAGCAGGTGGAAAAAAAAACCTAAGTTGATATATTTAAGTCAAATCTCAGGAATCAATGCACATCAAGACCACCCCAGATGGAGATGTTTGTATTAGCCCTGCCACTGGGCCTCCAGGAGCCCATCCGGTTATATAAGAGCTTCAGGTTCTCTGTTGACAGGATTAAAAATGAACACCAGCCTCCACGTTCTCCACCATGTCCAAAGATCTGCTCTAACTGTGTGCCTGGAGGCAGGTTGTCTCCAGGCTCCAACATCACTGGTATGGGTAACATGGTCTAACGGCAGGGAAATGGTTACTTATGAGCATCCACAGCATCAAGGGTTATTGCCAATTTGCCATGAAGACACAGGCTAAAAATAACACTTTGACTCTGTGGGATAAGGCACTAAAGGGGGGAAAGGGGGCACAGAAGATTTCAAAGTCTTCCAACATTGTGTTTTAAGGGAAGCTGGTCATTCACCTGATGGGTGACAGCAAAAACCTGAGCATAACAACCTTTTTTCTACAATATTGTGCAATAAAATTATGATCTTCTTCACTGACAACATGCTTATGAAAGTACTGTTAGACTAAACGCTGCAGGTGTTGGTATAAAACCATTCACACTGCCAGAAAAGAGTCAGATTTTTGTTTTGCTCAGCTTATTAAAATTAAAAGTGAAAGACATAATGTCCTTATAGTGCTCAGTTTTTAAATAAGCACTTTCAGACAGCAAAATTGTATATCCTTTGTGGAAAACTGTAACTTAATGGAGTAAAAATAGCAGCCCATAACCATAATTAGAACCAAAAAATGACCTCCACGCACCCCTTCTCACAGCTCTGTTTTTTTTTTTTCAGAGAAACTGAAACTTTGTGATATGTGACCAGATTTCCCCAAATTCAACTGAATTTCCAAGAGAAGGACCGTAAATCTGCAGTTTGACAACTAGCGAGTTCATGCACTACACCAGCATGAGTGTTGAGTGTTTTTACCTTGCACAAATATTCCACCAAATCGTCAATCCCTGTGTATCATAAAAGTATCTCCTTAAGCCGCTTGTGAACGTTATTCCCCCCGCCTGTGGCAGCCGTGGCGGGTTACGGGCCAGCTGTTCCTGACGCACCCAGGATTCCCGCGGTGAAACCGGAGGAGCTGCTCCAGGTGGGGTCAGATCAGACCTTTGACAACGTCCCGTTCCCACACAGCTGGTCGCTCAGGAACATGGTTCCCAGAACCGCCGCAAACTCAGATCAAAGGAGGAAAACGCCGAGGTCTTTCAGAGTGGCACTTACTATACCCCTGAGAGCGGAGCACACTCCGTTCACCTGAATGAATGGCTACATCTGATGATGCGCATGATACCCTCTACTCCCTTTGCAGCCTTCAGGTGCACGGTAGACCTAAGTTCACAAAGTGAAAATCATCAATGTAGATGTTTTGCACACAGATAGTTAAAGCGTTTGTTCCCCAATAACTGTGATTAACTATAACTTATAGATAATACATGCCCAACATTTAATTGGAGAAATAAATAAAAAATTACAGTACAATCGTAAATACGGATTTAAAATGTAACCACTAGATGGCAGCAGAATGCTCACAATTGAAGCTTCTGTGTATACTCACGATACACCATTATGCGACGTAAGAGTAAGAGTGCTAAAATCTAAGAAAAAAGTAGTATTTTCAAATTTTATAATTTTTGCCTAAACTTTTTTGACCCATATTTTCTTCATTTATGATTTAACTATTTTATAGTGCTACTTTGATATTTAAATCGTCATTTTACTTATTTGTTGCATTTACCAAGCGCGTCAGTTAAACCACCTTCACGCAAAACAAAACAAAAAAAAAAAAAAAAACAAACAAACAAACGAAAGCAGCAAAGAATTTAGCTGCAACAGAAAAAGCAAGTAAGAGGTCGGAACTATTCGAAAAAGAGGGAATCCAAAAAATGAGGCGCCGTTACTATGGAGACATAGGGCTACATTCGAACCGCAGCAACAAGGTTTGTCTTCTGTTCCTGCTTAGTTGTTGAAAATTGTAGTTGTTTCAGGTAGCTACAACTAAAATATTGTGAAACATTAAAACTATTTTGGTACAACTATAAAAGCGTTACGTAGTTTATGTAACTTTGTATTTCACTGTCGCTAACTGGACTTTTAATCACTTCTCTTATGTCCGTGTTGTTCATAGGATTATTCGTGTAGGTGTTCGTGTGGAGAGTGATAGTATGGACTCGGAGTACATAAAGAAACATCTGGGAGAGTGCCTGGCGAAGGGGCTAGCTGAAGTAGCCGAGCTGAGACCGGTACACCCCATCCAGTATCTTGGTCACTGGCTCTACAAATATACGTCTAATATTCAATTCGAGAAAGAGGTAAGCAGCAGTTTCTTTTACTGGCCAGCAGGAGACACCATACCACCATACCGTTGCCATCTTAAATCTTTTCTTTAAATTACAATTTTGAAACCATGTAAGTATTCATACCATTTATTTTTTTTCCACATTATGTCATAATTACATATGTCAACACATTTTATTGTGTGAGTAGGTTTCAACATGTTTTTGTAAATAGTATATCAACAGACACATGTTGTTGATTATTTGCAAAGAAAGCTCAAACTCAGATTAAAAAAAGGTTGTACTAATCAGTTTTCAAGTTTTTTATAGATTCTCTGTTGGATTCAACTGAGGATCCATAAGTATGGACTTTGATTGGACCACCCTGCTTGGATCTAAACCTTTCCTCTTAATACCTAACCATGAGCCACATAGCTTGATGCTTGATGGTATTTTGGCACAAAATATTTCTGGCTATAAAGAGGATGTAAAGACCAAATTAAGTATTTTTTTTTACTATTTATAGTTATTGTCCTCAACTCGTAGAGCTGTGCAAATGTTTTAAATCAATTCTAAATGTATTGTTATACTTTTCTTGAAAGCTTCCAGACTATAATCGGAAAAAAGTCCTTATTAATACTTGTCCAGGCTTTCTGAAGGCCTTCCCAAGTTTTTTCTTTGCAGTTTTGATGCTTCTTTATATAGTGAAAATGTTAAACAACATAACCAAATCCCACCACGAGGTTATTGTTTTACTTCCAGTTCTGTGTCTCCCTCATCCTAAACCTATTGTTGCTTTTGTTAAAGCTCTGATCTTTAAACGGGTTTGAAAGCTGTTCACGGATAACAGAGGCTTAGACAGTCTAAGCTCATCAGACTAAAAGATATGGCTGCCAAATCTCAACCACCTTTTACCTAGACATGAAAAAGCCCACCAACAGACCAATGCAGAACAATGGTTTGGTTCTAAGAAATAAGATTATTATAAAATCTTTTAAGAAATAAGATTATAAATACTTACATGCAATGACATAATACTAATAAAGTCAGAAAAAGTTAAGATGTTAATGTATCACATTATTTTTACAGAAAAAAGAGCAGTTTGCTCTGTTGGAGGAAAAGATTGCTGAATATAACAGACAGAAAGCGCTGAGAGAGGAGGAGGAGAGAGCTGCTAAAGTCCTGGAAGAACTTCTAAGAGTATGATGATCACTAATTTTGTCTTTACAATCTGTTTAATCATTTACAAGTAGTTTTTTTTATTGCCAGAACTTACTTTCCATTTGTATCTGCTGATCAAAATGTATTACTTAAAGCACAACAGAAAAGGTTAATTGTCAACTTTTCAACAGGAGGCTGAGAAACCCATAGAGCCGGAAGAACCCATTGAAACCACTGCTGAAGATGAGAAGCCTGCTGAAGATAAGAAACTGGTAAACATAGAGTAACCCAGCTCATAGCTCAGGTGGAAAATATTTTGTCAGGACAGTTATATCCTCTCCAGAAATATGCTGTTTCTATAAGACTGACAAGAAGAAACTTGCCGTTTGAACAAAGGCATTAGAAGTACAGTTTGTCACAAGCAATGAGGGGAAAAAAGTAAACACATGGAAGAAGGTACCTTGGTCAGAAAGGATCACAGTTTTTGGCCAATGCTCTATATTCCATGTTTTGTTCCTGTCATGTGACAAAACATGGAAAGGTTTGAAGGTCGAGTCACATATGTCACAAGATCTCTCTGCAACATTACAAAAAAATATTGCTTCTATCTGTCCTGCAGGTGACTGGTCAATCTGAGTCTGGCAAAAATGAGGAACCAGAGCAGACTGACCAAATACAATCAACTCCCAGACAAGATGGCAGTGATTTACAATCCAACATTGCAGAGAATCCGCACAACAAACCTGAAACCTTTGACTTTCCAAATGCAGAGAAGGTGATGCAGAAAAAGTGCAGTTTGCATGCCGGCGATCGTGGCTCGCTGCATGTATTCATATTGCGGAGAAGATCCAGTGCATGAAAAAAATGTATGGCCAGGTGGACAGCGTGAGCTGAAGTATAGAAGACAGATGAGGAAAGAGATTCTTCAGTGAGAACAAAGACAAGAATCAGGCTGAGATACAGGAGGATGGCAAAGGTACGTTTGTCACTTTCAGTTCAACTTGTTTTTATCCTTTACTTCAAGGTGGATGAAGAAGAGAAGGATAAACCTGAAGACTCCGTCTATGTGGAAACAGCCTCCACTTTGCAGAACGAGGAGCTCAAAACAGAGAAAACGGTCCCACTTGAAGAACAAGAAGAAGCCATGACAGACACCAAACAGGAGACTGAAGAGCCCAGTTCTGTTCCTCTTCAAAACCAGGTGGCTCATTGATCCTGGTTTTTCACTCTTTGCTGCTGCTGCTGCTGCTGCTGCTGCAGCTGCAGTGAGAGGTTTGAGAAAGATCAATTTGCTCCGAAACCAGAAACAAAAGAAAGAACAGAAGAGAGTTACTGAACTTTCCTCTCATGTCAGGAGGAAGTCAAGTCATGCGTGACACCATTGATTTTTTTTTTTTTTTTTGGCTACATGTCACATAGAGCAACAGTGAAGAGTCAGAGAATTGAATTAAGGGAGATTCCTCATACAGTTGCGCAGAAATAACTTGCAAAATCATTTTTTTTTTAAAAAAAAAAGCTAATTTATTTCACTGATTAAATCCAAAAAGTGAAACTCATAGTGTTATCTAGTTTTGCATTGTTGGATGTAGTGAACTGCTCCACAGATTCTGTATGAAGGCTAGGTCTGTTTCCTTAAGGTGACATTTATGTATGAAATTATTTTCATTGGTGTGATTCGTCTTATATAATAATCAGATTTTTTTGTGAAAGTCCTCATGATAAAAAGAAAGACTTTCTTGAAATATATTATTTTGTACGTGTTTCACCTTTTGAATTTGGATGACATTTTAAACCACTGAAATGCTGCTGTAGATGATCGACAGTGAAAAACAAAAACCAGGTCTCAAAAAAGGAAGAGAGAGCTTAAAGTAAGATACCATGTTAAAGCTTTGTGCTGCTTTTCAATAATAAATCGAAGGACGACGGTCTCTTCTACAGGTGATCGATCAGTCTGAGTCTGGCGGACATGAAGAACCAGAACAAACTGACCAACTGCAATCGACTCCCAGACCAGATGACACTGATTTAATATCCAACAATACAGAGAACCATCACAGCAAACCAAATCCTGCTGCCTTTGACTCTCCAGATGTAGAGAAGGTGATGCAGATAAAATGCTGTATTTATGTTGGGGAATGTGGCTCACATCATATATACAGATTGAGGAGAAGCAGAGTAGAGCCTTTGCATGGAAAATATCTGCCCAGGTGGACAGAGTGAGTTGAAGTAAATGTTTAGAAGACAGATGAGGAAAGAGAGATCCTTAAAAGAGAACAAAGACAAGAATCAGGGTGTGTTCAACTTATATTCTCTCTAACTTAAAGGTTGATGGAGAGAATGATAAACTTGAAGACTCTCTCCAAGTGGAGACAACGTCCACTCCTCTACAGAGCGAGGAGCTCAAAACAGAGAAAACAGATCCAACTGAAGAAGAAGAAGCCACGACAGACACCAAACAGGAGACTCAAGAGCCCAGTTCTCTTCCTCTTCAGAACCAAGACAAGGTGGCTCACTAATGAACCTGTCCTAAATTTATACTCTTTGCTGCAGTGAGAAAGTTGAGGAAGATACATTTGCTCAGAAAGCAGAAACAGGAGAAAGAACAGAACAGAGTTACTAAACGCTTAACCAGAACTTTCCTCGTATGTCAGGAGGCAGTCAAGAGTGCCACCACTGATGGTTTTGGCTACAAGTCACAGAGAGTAACGGTGAAGAGTCAGAGAATTGAATTAAGCAACATTCCTCATACAGTTGCATAGAAGAGACATGGAACGTCATCAAAAAGTGCAGATTGTCTGGCCAGGTGGACAGAGTGAGAGGGAGTTTAGAAGACGAATGAGGAAAGAGATGCTTCAAAAAGGACAAAAACAGGAATACGATTGAGGTGCAGGAGGATGACAGGAACATCGCTTTTTTTTATATTAATCCAGCAAAAATATAACATTGATTACATAAACAACAGCATATGTACTGTAGCTTTTTTCAGTTTTCTTTCCCATCCTTCCCTACCTTACTGCCAAACAACAATAAACAAAAAAAAACAAACACTGAAACGAAACAACTGTCATTCTGAATGATTATAAGCAATTTAAACTCATGAGATCGACACAGACGAGGAGAGTTGAAAAGGTCAGCACATTTTCAGTTTCGTGTGTACCCTTCCCTGGGACTCCAAATGTATCAGCACTATGAAGTTTGTCAGATCGAAGCGTTGTCTAAGTTGTGATAACGGGAATATCACTTTAACATATTTAGTTTAGCTTCTTTTCCATCTTTCATTTCCAGGTTGATGAAGCAGAGAAAAAATCTCAGGATTCTGTTGGAGGGGATCTGCAGAGCGAAGACGCCAGCTCTCTTCAAGACCAGGACAAGGTGACTCACTGATAAATAAGTCTTGTTTTTAACTCTTTGCTGCAGCAAGAGGTTTTAGAAGCTGCAAACTGCTCAGGAAAAAGCTCCAGGGCCCGGTTATTCAATGCTCAACCAGAACTTTCCTCTTACGTCAGCTGGCTGACAGTCATACAAGTGATACCACTGATAGCTTCGGCTCCACGTCACAGAGAGCAGCAGTGATAAGTCATAACATTTCTCACAACCCAACCAGGACAAAGACCATACTCATTCCCGAAACACCGAAAAATTTAAATCTCTCTTGCTGTATGTTTTTTCCACTGTTGTGTTTTTGTTCTCAGTGGGGGTCAGTCTTAATCTTTTATAGCCTTTTTTTGTAGCATTGAGTTGTACCAGAGAGGCTAAGCAAATAAAGTTTAAATGATTGATTGTTTCGCTTAAAAACAAGGCAGATAACCAGAAAGATGGGACACAATTGTACACAGATATTTCTTCTGTTTTTGATGTTTTTTGTCACTTAGATGTTGCTGACCATGAGATGAGTTTTACTATCTGCCTAGGCTAACCTGAGTAAATGTAAAATAAATTTCTCAAATTATTTTATTTAGTAAAGATGTTATCCAAACCACTCTGCTCCTATGTGGAAAAAAAAGTTATTTCTGTTGTTTTCTTACAGAAAACAACAGAAAACAAATATTTCTGTTGTTTTCTTACAGAAAACAACAGAAATAAGGGGGAGGGGGATTGCCATTTGCAGGCAATCCCCCTCACTGGTTCGGTAAAATCACAGTCACTCAATCCCGTTACAATGAAATCATCAACTGGAAGCATTTTGTTTTGCTCAGGTTATCCTTTGGCTGGTAGCAACATTTCTTTGATTATCTGAAACAGTTAAGTGTGATAATACAGCAAACAGAAGCAAATATGTAAGGGAGCAAATACCTTTTTCATCACACTGCAGAGGTTTTGTGTTGCTTCACAGGGAAGACAGGGAATATTACATTTCCATAATCTAACTTTGATCTACATAAATGCTTAGGTTGAAGATGATGACAAATCTGAAGAATTAGCCCAATTAGAGGCGGACTCACCTCCACAGAGTGAAGAACTTGACCGAGAGGAGACATATCCCGATCAAGAAAACATTGAGTTCAACGAGGAGATACAAGAGGCAAGTTCGACCACTCTTGAGGACCAGTCTGATGTACTTCAAAATGTAAACTGGTTATGCTTTTTATTCACCGGTGTTTGCAGATAAACAGTTACAGTGTAAACGAGAAATACTTGTAAGATGTTTAATGTTTATTTGTGATGTTTTTCTATGCGCAATCTTAGGAGACAGAGGGACAGCTCGGGGATGAGGCATCTGATGATTTGGCTCCCGCTGAACCCTCACCATAATGATCACCATGACTCAGCCGAGGCAGCCTGGTGAATCTCTCAAAGACTGAAAACAGAGGTCATATTTCTAGAGGCTGGCTTTTAAACTGTTCAAATCCTTCCAAACTAGTGATTTACACACAAAAAAACAAACAAAACAAAACAAACAAACAAAAAAAAAAAAACATGTTACCCAATAATAAATGTTACCTGGAGTGATTCTATTCAATCTGTTTGTTTTCTTTAAGTGTTTGTTAAAATTGCCACCTAGGTTGTGTGTTACAGAAGCATTGAGAAATAAATCAAGTCAGCCAAGATAATAAATTTGTATGGAAATATAAAGGTTGTGATTTAACATTACCCAAGGAAAGGCACCAAGAAGTGTTAATTCTTTTGCAAATCATTTGGGCATTTGGTTCTGGACTTATATTCCCATATGGTGCCCGGTAATTAATGTCAATCATCTAACAATAATGCGCACGCCTGGGTATATTTTGTTTTATAATATCGAAGCAGAAACAGAAATCTGCCAAAGTTCACAGCAGATTTGTGAAATCTGGCGTTTCAGAAATGTGACTCTGCATTTTCTAACAACCTTTGAACTGGAGGAGGGTGAACTGCGTAACGATGACTGTTTCTTAATATCTATTTTTTTTTCTTTATCTTTTTTTTTTTTTTTTTTTTTTTTTTTTTTTTTTTTTTGCGCAGTAGTCCTGCGGATCGTTAAATCGGAACGCAGCTGCGGCTAATCTGACACTGATCGGTTTCTGGGTCCAACAGAAAGGGGGCTGGCTTTGGGCTGCAGTGTGGAGGATCAAATCGAGCTGTAGTTTAAATGCGCTCCCAGTCGTGGCCCTTAAAGTAGAGCAAAAGCAGTGAGGGGAAACAGGACAATGGCCATGGCGCTTATTGGAGACACGGTGGCCACCGTGAGTGGCTTCGTCACGGGAGTTTTGAACTTTTTCACGGACTTCTTTCTTACTCCACCCCTGAAAGCCACTCTGATGTTCTTGGAGGAAGCTGAGCTTAAAACCCTGAAAGGAGGTAGGTCTGAACTTAAACATAAACAAACTTAAAAAAAAAAAAAGTCATCTCTTAACTTTAATGAACTATTGAAAGAAACCATTGTGCTACTGGGCCGCGTGACTTTTAATCTCTTGCTAGAGTCATGCCCTTCAAACTCTTCTCTTTCCCCAGAAATAAAAACGTTCAAGGCCAAAACGCTGTGGGAAAAGTCAGGAGCGGTAGTCATGGCAGTGCGGCGGCCCGGGTGATTTTTGTGCAGAGAGGTAAAGTTACAATCTATCCAGGCAACATCTATAATCCACAAACTGTTCACCCTGACACAACGCCCATTATTAAATATTCCTGCCTCCCCTTTTCTTTCTTTTCAACTACAAATTTTATCAGTGTGCAGTTTGTCATACACTGCAATAAGTTCTTGGATAAGAAAGTTCTAATTGTATTCTGGGCATCCTCAAACATTGTTCCCATTGTTTTTAACCTCTTGTGGAAAAGGAGATTATAGTTCAATCCCTGGTCACCAAACTGAGCCAAGGGAAATTCTAGGTGGTCTGCTTTTGCAACCTACTCCAAACTCTAATCGGAGTATTTAAGAATGTTTTATATAGTGCTCATTTTCTTCAAACAAATTTTTGAAGATTTTTATTTTAAAGATCGTGGGACACAAACTGCTTTAAAGTGTAAACTTTTTTTTTTTTGTCTTCTCTTCACTGTTTCAACAGGAGGCTGCAGAGCTGTCCTCTCTGAAACCCCAGCTGGACAAGCTGGGGGTCCCTCTGTATGCTGTGGTGAAGGAGGACGTGGGAACCGAGGTTCAAAACTTCCGACCGTACTTCAAGGGGGAGATTTTCTTGGATGAAAAGGTTGAGGCTTTTTATTTATTTTTTTTTAAAACAAATTGATGCATTGTTTAGCCAGTTTGCCTTGGGGAGAAAAATGATCAGTGGAACCCTCCTTCAGACCAGACCAGTGTTTTCTATAAACACTGAGCTCATTGAGTTTGTAATGAATCTTAAGTTTGCATGACTGACTGACTGAATCCTCCTTCGCTTGCAGAGGAGGTTTTATGGGCCCCGTGAGCGGAAGATGGGACTTCTGGCTTTCATGCGTTTAGGAGTTTGGTTGAGTGGAGTGAGGGCCTTCAGAAAGGGCTTCATTGGAAACGTTTTAGGGGAAGGCTTTGTCCTGGGTGGGGTGTTTGTCATTGGACGAGGCAAGCAGGTAAATCTTAATTTGAATAAGAATTGACATAAAATGCATTTGTATAGATTTGATCTGTCAAACTTGCATTTATCCTCCTGCAGGGAATATTACTGGAGCACCGAGAGAAGGAGTTTGGAGATAAAGTCAACATTTCAGATGTCCTCCAAGCAGTCAGACAAATACCACAGTAAAACATAGTACAATTTTAGATGTGTGAATCAAGGTTTGTCTCTGGGACATGAGGATTTCATTGTGTATGACTGATTGTGGAACTTTGGGTGTGTTCATGATGGTCTGTTTTTAAACTCAACGGAGAAAGCAGACTTGATGTTTAACACCAAATTCTGTGTATGTTGTACTGCAGAGCAACTCAGGAACCAGAGACTGACCTTTCAGAACAATAAAGCATCTTGTTATCCTCTGGTTTGGTTTGTGTAAAATAAGTCCCCCTGTTTTGAGGTTGCTACTATACCATAATTACTGTTGGATGTTTCTAATTTCTAACATTTCAGTGACTTGCTGTGCAAAAATGGTCTGGGCTTTTCTTGTAACGCTATCAGGAATTTATCTATGACTAAAGTGTGGCTGCAAAGCCTTTTAACTTTTTTTTTTTTTTTTTTCCCCTCCCCAAAGCTACTCAAGCAAGTGCAACTAAGTCTTCACTCCGGTTCTTTTTCTGGCTTGTTTAAGCCTCACTATTATAAATAAGTTGTATTAAATGTGCGGGATGGGGCTTAACTTTTGCACATTAATATTTTTGGGGAAAAAAGGGTATAATTTCAATGTGATGCAGGCAAACTTGTAAGGAAGTGTCAGTCGCCACGCCAATCAGACACCTTTGTTCGCTAACGATCCAGCCAGTGACGGTCACTTCACTTCGATGTGGCGTTTCGTGAATTCGAGGTGAATAACGCGTATCGCACAAACTGGTGTGCAAGCTGTTTGCGATAGTTGTTTTTTTTTTTTTTTTTCCCTCAACCGCTGTGGGATGATTTAACGGACGTTTTTATTCGTGCTCATCAAGTTGGATTAATGCAGAACGGGAGGGACTTTTCCTGTGTCGGTTTCGTTCTGGACCTGAAACGCATATTTGGTAAGGTATAGTCGTCTCAGAACTTTGTATATTGTTTTTTAGTCATGTAGTCTACACGATATCTAGGAGATTTTTTTTTTATGTATAAATAAAAAAACCCGCAATATAACCTATTTTTACGATGATGGATTAAATTTCGTTGGCGCAGCCGCAGTTTTAAGTTGCGCTGTCCAGGGTCCTGGAGTCCCTCCAGGGAACCCCAAAGTGACGACGTGTGGACAGACTCTTACGTTTAGTGACACATAACCATGGAGACGGCATGTGACTTCCTGGCTGTAGGGGATCAAGTCTGCCTTGGATAACCCCACGCAATCCTATTTCTGAGCTCACCTGCTTGCGGCTAAAACCCTCTGTGACTCAGTTTTGTGATGGGAGGTGATCTGAGGAAGCTTGAGGACAGCGGGACCGATGGGGTGTGAGGTAAATGTTTGTTTTGTTTGAAAATTCAGACAGGTGAGGGAGATGCAACATGGAGCGGAATGGACCGAAGTGTGACTCCAGGGGGACAAAGAGTCAAATATGTCAGAGAACAACCTACTTGAGTGAGTGGAGATTAAGAAATGTCATACAAAAACCTGGACAGGCATCTACTGAAGTGTTAGTATAAAGTTAGTTATTCTAAAAGTGAGGCTTGTATTGTACAGCTTAGGTACCCAGAATTAACATTCTTGTCTGTTGAGATGACTATAGTTTACAGATAAAAAAACAATAAGTCTAGCAGTAAGTAAAGTACTGTAGAATAACAGATTTAATACAGAAGTGTTATTGTAATTCATAAAATTATAGCAGCCTTTAAAACAGGAAAAAAAAAGAAACTGCCATTAAGAATTTGGCTGTTCAAAACACTGTATTCAATCATGTTAATGGAAAGTTTAGAGCAAAAACAAAACTGTTATAAAAATGGCAAAATCACCAGTGACAGCCACAGCTTTCACGTTATTGGCAAATGGCTAAAATTGTCACGTTGTATGTTATGTGTTTAGTAATTCATGCAAAAGTAGACACAACCAAGTATTGGCTTTCTTTACTGTGAAGTATATCAACATACCTTTCAGTAGTCCCACTTCCATGTGCTAAAAATCTGTTTAATTGTCTTATCTAACATTTTTGTGCTCCGAGAAGCGGAATTTAATCAGTTTAGCGAATCTGGAGATAAGTCTGACTTTAAAAAAAAATTGAATTACTTAAATTGATTCCCTTTAGACTCGTTCACCTGGAGGTGACTGGCTGGGGGAGTGCGTGTGTGAAAGGAGAACCATCCAGCCCCCATGGCTTCCTCGACAGATCCGTCCCGCAGGGAAAAGGGTCCAGCGACACAAGGTTCGCACACGGCAACACGCAACCTCTTACGAAAGAAGGAACAGCGTCGCCGTGGAATCCGATCCTCCTCGCCCATGGGTCGGGTCATCCTCATCAACTCTCCTGTAGATGGTAGGAAGCAGCTGCGAGTCTCAGTGAACCGTAAACGCAGTGCCGGCCTGATTCATAATGTGCTTTGGTATAACAACCTCAATCCCCATAACTATATATCGTATTAAAATGTTAATCAAAATGCTTTGAATATGAATTGGAAATTGACGACAAATACTTTAAAGCCCCAAGTCTCCATTTATTTAGAGCCTTGCAAACTTAATTATGCCCCTCTAACTTTTCTATTTCTCATTATAATCAAAAAAATTTGGACCCTTTTTTTTTTTTTTTTTAAACCCATTACATATAAAAATGTGAAAATTAGTTCTCTCAAATCAATAATCAGGTGAGTGTCTTCGTCAACTGTGGACACGTCAAGACTGAAATTTCTGCTAATTTTTCTTTGCAGAGCGTCGATTTTCAAGTCTTTCCTCGGATTCTTAATCAGATTTAGGTCTACACTTTGGACCGTTCTATCACAGAAATATTCTTTAATTCTTTTTGCAGTAATGATGTTCTTTACATTTTCAGATGAATGATTATTCTTTACGTGACCCTTGAAGGAAGCTCACATTAATTCAAGCGAGGTCAGCTGAGATTACAGATTTTGCCTTTATATCTCAGATTCCTCCTGATGTGTTTTAGGTGGAGATGACAGTGAAGACCTCCACACAGTCACAGTGGATAAGAGTGTGGACGGGAAGCTCGGCTTCAGCGTGCGTGGCGGCTCGGAGCACGGCCTCAGCATTTTCGTCAGTAAGGTGGAGGACGACAGCACGGCGCGTGAGTGGTGGTCTTAGAAATACGGCCGCCGCTGTTGCGTTTCGTTATGTTTTGTGCTCCAATCTTCTGGGTTTTTTTGCAGAGGAGGCAGGCCTGCAGGTCGGAGATAAGCTGGTGGAGGTGAATGGCGTCAGCCTGGAGAGCATTACCATGAGCAGCGCCGTGAAGGTGCTGACGGGCAACAACAGGCTAAGGATGGTGGTGAGGCGAGTCGGGAAAGTTCCCGGCATCCGCTACTCGAAGGAGAAGACAACCTGGTGAATTTTTACCATTAAAGTGAGTTTATGCTTTTCTGTTTTTCCTACTTCTGTTTTTAAAATCATTTGGGCGCGATGCTCGTCTGCCAGGGTGGACCTGGTCCATAGGCGGATGGTGGTGGAGGAGAGCGGGCAGACCCCTTCAGAAGCCAGTTCTGACAGCGCTCTGCAGAGGATCGTCCACCTTTACACCACCTCTGACGACTACTGTCTCGGCTTTAACATACGAGGGGGGAAGGAGTTTGGTCTTGGCATCTACGTCTCAAAGTAGGTTCAACGTTTATTCACTACATAGGAAGGATAAAGGCTCATACATCCTCTTTATACACAAACCTATGATAGTACGTTGTTTTATGCAACATGGAATTGCATCTCAATAAATCAGAATATAATTTAAAACATTGTAATCATTAAATAACATTTTTTTTTAACATCTACAGATTTGATTCTGGGGAGGTTTGTTTAATTTGGGGATTATGGGTTTTGGTAGATGAAAATTCAATTTCAATTCCAAGTAAAATGTTACTAGAAAGTACGTCAATGCACCCTGACAGTTGCGACAATTTTTTCTTTTTTCTTTTTCATGTTTTTGGTTCTTGTTGTGTTAATGTCTCAGACTGGATCCAGGCGGTTTGGCTGAGCAGAACGGGATTAAGATTGGAGACCAGATTCTGGCTGCCAATGGAGTGAGCTTTCAGGACATCAGCCACAGCAATGCTGTGGAGGTGCTGAAGAGCCACACACACATCATGCTCACTATTAAGGTGACAAGTTGTCTTTCTTTTAAGTTATTTCCATCTTACTTTAACCTGATGCAGAGACGTATCTCGTTCATATATGCAATACTTTGTGTTGGTCTTTCACATGTTATCCCAATAAAACGCTGCAGCTTTCGCAGTTGTATTGTGACAAAATGTGGAAACATCAAAAAGTGTAGCGAAAGCAAGTTATTTTATTTTAAGTTTTTTTTGTTACTACTGGCCTTTATTTATTAGTAGTTTGAGAAGAACAGAGAGAGAAGGAGAGGACTTGCAATAAATGTCCACTACACTGTCACTGTTGAACAGTTCTCTACAGAAAGCTTAAATAGACTTAGAGGAAAGTTTACACAAATCATGTTCAGCCAATCATTGGTTGATCACATCAAAAATCCCCCGGCCTTAACAAAACAAGCTAAACCTCTGATATTAAAGAGGAATGATGTAAAGAAAAATACATGTACTCTTCAGGGACAATTGCTGTTAAGCTGAAGAGGCTGGATTGTATTCCACCCTGACTCTTCATTATTGGAAAGCGCTCTGGCTCTTTCGTTGCCTCCACGCCTAACTGACCTGTATGCATTAACTTTCTGACCTACTGCCTGCCCCTCCTCTTCAATTGGCACACGAGCAAACACGTCTCGCCTCTTCGGTGTGGTCGTTCGGGCCTGTTTTGTGGCCAAGGCTGACAGCTGGCATGCAGACACAATATTCCTCCCTCGCTTTGCTCACTGGAGGTTGGGTTTCGCTCCGTGAACAAAAAAAAAGCCCGGCCCCGTGCATTATTCACCAAGCAGCCAGGATCAGGTGCTGATAAATAGCTTAGCCTGTGTTTTGTGTAACTTTTGTTGCTTTGGTCTGTGGAGGCTACCTCTGTGGAATTAGAGAGCATCTCAGCTATCAGAGATTACTAGAAAGCTAGGAGAAAAACTAACTCTTTTTTTGTGGTTTTGTCTGTATATTTACGTTGATATCTGCATATCTCCACAGGAAGCAGGGAGGTACCCTGCTTATAAAGAAATGGTAGCAGAATACAGGTGGTTGAATAACTGTAGGTATTTTTATTTTCTTTTTGTCTTGTCTAAAATAAACTTTTATACCTGGTTTCAAAGTATTAGCACTCACTAACCCGATCTCTCAATGTTTTGGTAGTTATTTTTCTACGTAGCAAATTATTCACCAGTCGGCGTAGTAGAGTAACAGAAAACCAGCAGACCTGACAGTAACACATGCTGCTGATGTATTTGAGTCAACAATTAAAATGGCAAAGCTTAAAATCAGATAGTTTGAACAAAGTTGTATGCTACATCACATAAATTGTGTTTTTTCTTTCTTCAGTGGCCAATGGTACTCAGCCATCTTCCTCCCAGGCTTCAGACTCCAACTCTTCAGCCTCCTCTCTGTCGTCTGGGACCCCGGTCAGCTCCCTGAGCGGCCTGTCGCAAGTCATGTTTCCGCCCAGCCTGCCGTTCGGTTCAGACATGGTGGACGTTTGCATCTCCACAGAGGACTTGAGGTCAGACCTACTTACTTTATTTTAACCATTTTTTTTTTTTTTTAAGATTGCAAACATTCATCTTGCTCTTAGCTATAATCAACTTTGAGATTTTACATAAAAATCTAAAATGTGTGGCCTGCATTTCACTCTGATAGCTCTACTTAATAAAAGTCACTTATCAATTGGCTTCGGGTTAATCACAATTAGAGAATAAGGCATTATTGGTCTTCTAGGATTTTATATCACCTAGATAAGTTTGTTTAAAGTTAAAATAGCACACCAGTGGAGTTTTACTTTTCCTGAGCAGGAGCGTGCAAACAAATAAAACTGGACCTAACACAGACCCTTGTGGAAGACCTTTATGGACTCTGGTGACAGTGGAGAACATTAATGAATGTCATCCGTCAGATAGATATTATTTATTTCTACTGTCTTTAAGTGGCCAAAGGTTTTCACTGACGAAGATTTCCCAATGCATAGAGCTTAATAAAATAAGGTGCTAATGGATATGACCCAGTCTGTATTAGTTTTAACTTAAGAACTGTTAGAAGGGAGCTGTAGGTATTTAAAACAATTTGAGACAAAGAGTCTCAAATTGGCAGTAATTAATAATTTACTGAATCTTAGAGTGTTTTAAAATGTATTTGAAAATGTTTACTTGATTCCTAGGGAAGTTTGTTTCGACAGCAGCATTTATTCATAAAGTAATTTAAAGTACTTTTTAAACAAACTAAAAGAAAAAAGGAAACATTCTAAAAAAAAAACACACACAAAAGGGAAAAGAAGGAAATTACTTTTACTTGTAGAGACTACCAGGTAACAAGACAAAAATAACTGGACTATGTATTTCTTTATGCCTAGACTCAAGTCTGAACTAACAGATTCCGCCATCCAGACAGACTTTTCCTCTCAGAGAATGGAAACGGACACCACCCGCAGCCTGGGACCAACCACGCTGCTCAAAGACACGGCGATCCGTGGAGAGGAGAGCAGGAGGTGGAAGGAATCTCCCAAAACAGCCGTGCTGCTGGCGCTAAGCAGACCAAGTCGACCAATCAGCAGGTCGCAGAGCCAGGTCACTGTAGCAGGTCGGTCTGCATTAAAAAAAATTAAGTTCCTACACAGACGTAGGACTTAAAGAAATTTACAAAAAGTATTTATAACCCTTAGTGTCTGTCATCTTTTGTCACTTTAAAACCAAAAACTTTATTGTATCTCGTTGGTATTTCATGCAGTCAGCCAACACACAGTAGTGCATAGTTTTTGAATGGATTAGAAATGATGCAAGGTTTTTGCAATTGAAAATCTTAAACGTGTGGTGCGTATTTATACTCATTTCCACTGAGTCAACATTAGGACTATGACTTTCATCAAAGACTGCACTTCATAAAATCATCCATCGCATATTATTCTGAAATGTACCAAAGTTTGTGCGTTTTAACTTGACAAATGTGGAAAAACTGTAAGGCACTGTAACACAATTTCTGTTTGTGCTCCATTGCAGAGATCAATCAGAAGAAAGACAAGAAGAAGCAGAAAGAGAAGCAAGCAGAGGAGAAAAGCACTCTGCAGCGCTCAAAGACCTTTGTTAGCCTGCTGTTCAAAGGAGGGCGCAAGAGAGACGCCTCCGGTGGGCGCTCCAAATCACCATTCAGAGAAAGCAAAGGTAGCTGATCTTCCGTGTATTTACATCTTTTTATGTTGAAAAGAAAACTTCACCTCTGGCTCGCCCTTGAAAGATGTTGCAAGGAAGCTAAACACAGCGTGGCCAGGACTTTTGATTTAAAATACATTGTTCTGGTAAATCAGAAGTCCATTTTTTTTTCCCTCTTCTAAAAACCGAGCTGATTGTTTGTTATTTCTGTAAAGTTTGGTCTCCTGTCATGTTTTAAATCTTTTTCTCAAACAAAATGAGCCATGTTTTCTTTCGGACACGAGATAATTTTGGCCCTCACATTCAGTAAGTTAAACTTCACATATAAACTGATCTTCAGAAACTTTTGTTTTATTGTGTAATATGTGGAAACGTATTGCACAGTATGTTGTGTAATATTTTATTGTGCATGACATCTCTTCACTTCCAAATTAAATTACAATAATTATGGAAAATAAAATTTCAAATGTCGCACATTTGTAATGCTTCATGCACTTTGAATTAATTTCTACATTTAATTCCAATGTAAAAAAAAAAAATTAAATAAAAATCTTAAAACCTAAAGGATAATCAAAACAACTAGTTGTTTTACCTGGTTACGTAAAGGAATAAATAAATAAATAATAATAATGCATGAAATCATAAAAATTTTGGGGCAGAATAAAATGCGGTACACAAAAGCATCCATTGACTGCATATTAATAAAAGCAATAGAAAACTTGTTTAATTCAGACAAACAAAGATAAGGAATATTTTATGTCTACGTTTTCTAATGTTGCTCAGGAGAGCTCTGGGAAACTGGTCATGACCACAAACTTCATAGTCAGTCAGGAGCTACATCATGTTGAACTTTATTTTTCTTTTTCGTGGAAAAAAAAAAAAAAAAAAACCCTGAATATTTTCCGTCTTATATTCTGCTAACGTCTCAAATTAGGACTTAATGTCAAATTTTACTGTGCTGCATTTTAGAGGGACGAAATGTCAGTGTGACGCCAAACTCAGAGATGCTTGGCGTGGTGGAGGACATGGCCCGAAGGCTGCTGACGGAGGAGGAGGTGTCTGCTGTGATGACGGCATGCCAAATGGTGTGAGAGGCACTGAAACGGAAATGTGGCAATATGGCAATTAGCTGTTGTTGCAAGTAATGGTGTAGCACTCTGCGTACGGCCCGCTTCTCTCTTTGGTAGTTTATCATCCTAGTCGATGTAATATTCAAATTTTCAGAGGCTCTGTATTGGAGGGATTTCTTTGATGTTTGCCACAATCTTCAAAATCAACAGAAATGCTCAAAATACATAATCCTGTATGATATAAACCCGAGCCTTTTTGAACTGAATAATACATTTTATCCTTATATACTGCAGCTTATTGATGATATTCTTACTTATCAATTCACACTAAATATCTCACTGGTATTACAAAAACAAACAACAACAAAAAAAAAACATACTAAATATCAGATTTTGTTCACCCAGTATACAACAGAGAGGTCAGTGGAGAACTTGATACGCCACCTGCTGGTTGTGCTGGACCGACCTGAAAAGCTTCTGCTTCTGAGGGAAGTCAGGTACGGAAGAGGAACTGGTACCATGGGGGTGTTTTCAGCTTGCAGGCTTGTGATTATCACGTAGTTCATCCAAATTATTTAAGTATGTGAGATTTATTGGCTTAGAAAACTCTGAAATAAAATATCAGTGAAGATTTATTTATGCTCAAGTCTATAAACTTAAATTCCCCTATTATATAAGTGAATAAATCTGGCAAGAGAAATTATGTAAATTTAGGACTTATGGATTTTCTTGATAATCTCGATGTGCGTCTTACACAATATTTAAAGATGATGTAACCCATTGCAGGAAGTGATGCATTGTTTTATTGTTTTTTTTTTTTTCCCCAATTTTGGTGTTCAGGCTTGTGCTTCCACCATCCGATCTGAGTGTTTTCAACAACATGGTGACCGCTGTTGAAGCTGAAGCCTACGATCTCCTCAAATATCGGTCAGGTGTGTACTGCAGAGCTGTTCAGGTGTTTTTAATTCACTTCAGTTTCTTGCATACCAATATCTGTTTCAAAATCATCACAATCATGTAGTGACAAAATCCCATCCCGTCTCATTTATTTACCTCCTTCTAAAACTAATTTAAATAATGAATTAGTCCAAATGCTGCCTTATTCTTTGCGGTATACAGTGCCTTGCAAAAGTATTCACATCCCTTGAATTTCTTCATATATACCAGCGTAAATACTAGCATTCTCTGAAAGAGACGAATCCTTTTTAGAGAACATCAGTGAACAAACAGCATTATAAAGACCAAAGAACTCTGCAGACAGGTTAAGAGTGAAGTTATAAAGATGTTTAAAACGGAGTTATATTGTACGTATAGCCACACAAAATGAAATTGTGCTGATGAGAAGTGAAGAGAAGAAAACTAGAAAAAACATGGGTTAATCACAATATTGTAATGACAATTTTTAACACCACTTTGAGTTCAAGTGTTTGCCAACACTAAAAAAAAAAATAATTATAAATTTGATCCAACTGGCAAATATGTTTGTATTATTGGAAATACTGATAATGTGAGGACTATAGACTGTGCCATGCAGCTCGAGTTCAAAAGCAGAGATGGAGAAAACTGACCAGAATTTATATATTTAGCTGAAATCAGGAAAAAAAAAAAACCCTGGAAGGAAACTAGGAAATGCTGCAAATGATTTGAGACAATGATCCTAAACATATAGCCAGAGCTACAACAAATTAGTTATTTTCATTATGAAGAAATGTATGATCATGTATTTTTTATGGGGTTTTTTTTTATTATTATTTAGAATAGCCTTGATCAACAACTTTTCGAAGATCTCTTCTTTTCTCTGCATTGTAGTCCGAACTCCTCCTCTCCGCTCCCCCATTTCTGGTCGAGCCCCCAAACGGCGCCTCATCACACCCATCCCAGGTCAGTACCTGTACCTCAATATTTGTTTGTCTGTTTCTTTAAAAAAAAAAAAAAAACCCATTGTTGCCAGTTGTGGTGTTTAAGAAACATCTGATTTAAATCTTTTGTTTTTTATTTACTCTCTGGTGGCCTTAAAGTCCTTCTGTTTTTCCCATATTATTTTTTAAAGCTAATTCATATTGAAATATTCATATGAAATAATTAAATTTTGGGGTATTTGGTAAGTATTTGTACCTATTGCAACATTTTTCTATATAGTTCAATACCAAAACTGTTGGATTTTCAACTCTTTAAAGGTACGTTTTTTTGTTTTTTGTTTTAAGAAAACTCCTTTACACACAGAAGTTTTATCTCACACATTCATCGTTATCCAGTATCAACAGCAATACACATTTTTCACTCTAAGGTGCCAGGTTTAATGATGCCAAAAATGAACATATTTGAAATATGCAGTCATACTTATTCAATATGATCGATTTTTTGCTCGTTGTTTGTATTGTTCTTTGACTCACTCATGTTTTTTCCTTGTTGCAACTTAGTTTTTGCTCTTTCTAATCTGTGAAACTAACATTTTCATGCTCTCTCCAGATTATAGGGGTGGCTTTGAGCTCCACAGTGCTGAGGAGGTGGAAAAAGAGAGCCACCTGCTGGAGGAGCTGGAGAAGCTCAGCCTGACTGGCTCTCAGGGATCCAGGGGGAGAACGAAGACCTCGAGTTCTTTCTCAGCTCTTCTGGACATACCTGTGGATGGATATAAGCCAGAGTCCAGAAGCATCAGATCCCGCTCTGCTGGTCCCTTGCTCCCCAACTGGCTGCTCGCCCACAGCAGTGACTCCCCGCCTCCTCTACGTACAGACATTGGCACCGTTCGCTCCGTCCACTTTGACGAGGCTTCTCTGCGCTCACCTTCAGAGAAGGTGGAGACAAACTCTGAGAGGGGAAGGACTTTCTTCAGGAACAGCCACTCTCAGGGCAGGAGGGAGAGAAGTGCCGAGAGGAGTAAGAACGTTGCGTTCACCGTGCAGAGTGCGAACCGCAGGAGTCGACCCTTGCTGTCGCAGGTGTTCGGTACGAGTCAGGAGCGACAGATGAACTGTCATCGGACTTCTTCGGAGAACAGGCTCAACTGTACCGAGCCCGAACAGGAGCATCGACTGAAGACGGTCAGCATCTCCAAGACCAAACAGTCTCTGGGTAAATAACTTTTAAATTATATCCATGCACTGAAATATACTTGAAAAGGACTTTTGCATGAATTGCTGGATTAACACAACATAGCATGGAGGTGATCAGCTTGTGGCTCAGCTGAGATGTTCAGAAAGCCCAGATAGTTTGAACAGCGGCCTTCGGCTCGTCTTCATCATTGTTGGTTTTATTGTCTTTATTTCAGCTTTCCATTACTAAGCTTTAGCAGTATTTTGTGGAAAATGTAAGTGAGGTATACATGACTATTTGAATTTTCTTAGAAACTAAACTTGGGTTTTTAAATCAACTACGAGCCATAATCGTCGCGTTTAAGAGCTTGCTCTGGATTTATCGAATCTGCATTATAGGTTTCATCTTTTGCATTTTTAATTAACGAAATAAACTACCTTCTAATTTATCAACATGCACCTGTGTACACACATTATACATATGGTGTTTGCATGTCCGTCAGTGAGCTAACGTAAGCGTCGAGCTTTTTGTGTTTCTATTTAAATCAGTTGCTGCAAAAACACATCACTACAGCCACTAACTCCTACAGGCATCAGCATTTCCGGTGGGATCGAGTCAAAGGTTCAGCCAACCGTGAAGATCGAGAAGATCTTTCCTGGAGGAGCCGCCTCCATGTGCGAGGTGCTTAAGGTAAAGTGGCAAGAATTTTAGGATCGTCGGGTCCTGTCATCTTGATCATACCGTTCATAGTTTCAGTACTTTGCGGCAGCATACAAACATAAGTATCAATGTACTCAAATTTGAATTTGCTACTTGGTTTTTATTTTTTTTCTTCCCAAATCTGCTTTTGCCAGTTATCTCTTGGCTTGTGAACGCTTCGCTGGTTGCTAAGTTAATGAGTAGTCACCAAGTACTTATGTAAAAAGAAATCGAGCAGATGCTGCAGATGTGCCTGCTGCTCTCTTTTCACCACATCCTAAAAGCCGTCTATTGGGTTGAGACATGAAGAAACCAGACTATTAGAGCTTTGTAATAAGGCGTCTTATCCTTATTACAACTATAAAGTTGACTCTAAAGAGATGGACACAGTCAGCAGTAATACCTGGATATACCTCATTTAAGCTGGGATGCCTACATGACAGTGGATTGGTACTGAGGGGCCCAAAGTGTTCTAAGAAAACATCCCCCACACCATTTTATCTTCACCAGCCTGGATGGTTGATACAGGGTCAGACGGAGTCATGCTTTGATGATAGTTCTGCCACATTCTGGCCCCATCATCTGATCAGACTGGGCAATGTTTTTCCAGTCTGTAAATTGTAGGCTCAGGTTCCTGTTCTTGACAAGAGCAGCATCAGCATCTGGTGTGATCTACTGCTAGTTCATCTGCTTCATAATTTGACATGTTGTGCATCTAGAAACTGCATTCCAAGCATTTTGAGTGTAATTCAGAAAGGGTTGACTTATCTCATACCAGTCTACTTATTCTCCTCTGATAACGAGGTACTTTTATCCAAACAGCTGCTGCTCATTGGATATTTTCTGACTATTCTCTATGAACCAGAGAGATTTGCATGTGGATTCTGATAAACACTGAATGTGGCGGGGTGTTTTTTTTTTATATATATATATTTTTGGTGCCAGACAAGTCAGGTCTAACTTACCTAAATGCAGCATACCGTTTGCATGACTGACTGACCTGGAAAAACTCATTTTGTTCCAGGCTGGATTGGAGTTGGTGTCTGTGGATGGAGTTTCCCTCCAAGAAGTGACCCACCAGCATGCCGTTGACGTCATCCGCAAAGCCTTCAGCAACAAGGCCAAAGACCCCATGGTGTTTGTGGTCAAAGTTCCCAAAACCTTCTAAAAAAAAAAAGACAAGTTTGAGCTCAATTTGTGAGAATTATAGAAACGGTGACTGTAGGGACAGGGGTCAGGTATGTCATTTCACCATTAATTTCAAAGAGAGCGACATGCTGCATCACCTTGATGATCATAGGAGTTAAGGATTATGAAAAAAACATTGTAAAAAAGTTTTGTTCTGCTTTTGCAGCTGGATTCATCCATTCAAAGAGACATTTTGAAAAACAAGTGCTCCATTTGTTTTTTGCAACCGCTCTGAAGAATACATTTGTACAGTAAAGTAATTTGAGTGCCTTTTAAACTTTTATGACAGTCTATGCCTTTTTCAACCTGCAGAGGGCAGACATGAGCCATTTAAACAAAATCAAGTGTTACAGAAAAACTTCAAATGTCAACCAAAGTAGATCCTACACAACCAGGCCGGAGATGGTTTCAGCTAAATACTGACCCTGTCAAAACTTTAAAACATGCAGAATCTGAATAATAAAAAAATAAATAAATAAAACATGAAACTTGATTTTAAATCATATTTTAATTAAAACCATATTGGTTTTGTTCAAGAAATGTACAGCATGAAAATATACATTTAATGTCTTCATACAAATATTGAAGGTTATAAAATTTATAGTGAGGAAACGAACAAAAATTCACACGAACGGTTAAACCAAGCTTTGTATCTGTTTGAGGAAAATAGACATGTTGGACATTGCTTTGGTCTATTCACAGTGGTTATGTTTTTTTATTTATGGGGACAGGCAGACGCCTGTGGGAGCAAAAAGACGATATATAAACCCTATTTGCGAAAGATCTGATAAAACAAAAACATTTGGACTTCTGGTTTAGTGGAACTAAAACGTTAAAGATCAGTGGAGGAAGCGAGTAGTCCAAATACATTCGTCAGTGCAAGAACTCTCCGTTTCAGGGACGTAAACAACAAATCTAATAACATCCCAGAAAAATAGAGGAAACGACAACTTTTTCCTGGTTAGAAGCCGATGCTGTCTCTAATGTGGCTTAGTGCTGAAACATGCTTCTCTTTACTCTTGCTAGAGAACAATGAGCCCTTCGCGTCACCAAGCAGAAGGTTTACTGAACTCTGCTTACATTTTATCCCGTGCTTTGCCGAAGACTTCACACCTCTTCAACTTTTTCCACATTGTCATGTTTCAACCACAAACTTTCATCTATTTTATGAGGGTTTTTTTGGTGACAGATGAGCACAATGTTGCGCATAAGTGGAAGGCATATGACGCATGTTTTTAAACAATTATTTACGGACAGCTTTACTCTGATACCCCTAAAAATAATCTAGCGCAACGAATTGCCTTCAGACATCGCCTTCGTTGACGAATGCTGTTCAATTCGTCATCCACACAAAATCCCAATAAAGTCCAATGACGTTTGTGGCGATGACATGGCAAAATATGGAGGAGTGAACACTTCTGCAAAGCACTGCATCTAATGGTGTATGATGACCACTGTAATTTCTGCCCGACTCTTTATCTTAACTGACATCCATTCATATTTTCTCATCAGGAAGCAGTTCAGCTTAGCTTGCATACTGGCTTTAAAGATCAAAACAAGCCTGAACAGATTAAACTCACGTTGGCAGCTGCATATCTCGAGGCCACAACGATAAATAGGGAGATCAAACGGGAACATGCATTGAAACTTGCTGCCAGGCTCGTATACCGTAAAGCAAGTGGTGTTATTTAGAACAGTGTAATTTATGCTGCGAAAAAGCCAAAAGAACTTTTGACCATTACTCAGAGGTAACTGGGTAATCTATGGGTGAGATTATTTTTAAGTTGGTATGTAAAGGTGGAAAAGGGAAACCGGTGCGTCTTTAATGGAAGGTGTCAATGTTACTTACTGTAGGTTTTGTTTCATAATATAGTTCAGAACCTCAATGCTAATTTGTTGCTACAGGGATAGTACAGACTCTTTCAGCGGATTTATGGCTGTCCGCGAATGTAGTTTAGGTAAAAACAAAAATGATCTGAACTCTGCCACCATCCAGTTTCTCAAAGACGTTAACACCTAAATCTTACCATGACACAATGAATCTGTGGTTGACACGTCAACCGTATCAGTGAAACTGTGGACAGAGTGGGAGTGCAACGATAAACCCAGCAGGGATACTGCGGTCAGAACCAGGACAGGAGGAGGAGGATGGTGGCGAACGTTGACCGAAGTTACTCACAAACTCCTAAAGGTGCGAAATATCACCAGGACTCGGCCGTCTCATCAGTGCAGTGGCAGCCTCTAATGTAGGAGGAGCAGAGAGCCGATGTGGTTAATGACATTTAAAGGTCGACAACTCTCAAGTGCGACAGTCGTCACAGCTGTTAGTCACATAAAGAACACAAGATATTGCTTCAGGGGAAGGGAGGTGGGGCGTTAAATGTAGTGCAAATAAAATAAAAAAAAAGGGACATCTATGAGGATCAGATTTCTGTTGCAGCAATCTCATCAAAGTTGATCTCGTTGCCGCTGCCCTCGTCCTCCTCTCTGCTCTCCAGTTCCAGGCTGAGCTCCTGCAGGAGCTGCTCCAGCTCTCTGTTCCTGCGATACATCTGCACGTAGTTCTCCTGCAGCTGTTTTTGGTAGCGGATCACTTTGTCCTTCTCCTCCTGCCATATCCGCCTCTCCTCCTCAAAGCCGCCTGCTTGCTGTTCGACCTTCTTGCGTTCGAAGGCCAACTCCGATTTCAACCCTTCCATCTGCGCCTTCATGCCCTGCAGCGCCTCGGCGCTGCTCTGCCGCTGGGCCTTCGCCTCGTCGCTTTCGTAGGCGAGCAGGTGCTCCTCGGCTTCCTGGAACACCTGGCACTGTCTGTTTCCTGGGCCCTGATTGGCCAGGGTGTCCTTGAGGTGAGCCAGCTCTCCTTCCAAGCGCCCCACCTTTTCTCTGAGCAGCTCCGCCTCGCTCTTTCGACGCTGAAGCTCGTTCTCGCACACCTCCAGCTCCATGGTCCGCGTGCGCGTCGTGCCGTGGGCCTCCTGGAGCAGCACCTGAGTGTTGGTGAGCTCACCGCGAGTCTCTCTGAGCTGACCTCGCAGAGAGACGATCTCGCCCACGCGCTGAGCCAACTCGCTCTGCACCTCCTTCAGCTGCTGCTTCAGCAGGGAGATCTCCCCCGACTTCTGACACACCTGAGAGACGAAAATAGAGTAATGTGCAATCTTGTTTGAAGAAAACCTCAGTATCTCAGAGATATTTTCATTAAATGGTCAGATAAAAACTGACAACTTGGGGTGTTTTCACACCCGATCGTCCAGCAGACTTCAATTGGGGACAAAAATTCAAACGTTTGTTACATTTTCAGCCGGTGCGGTTCGCTTTCACACTGCACTGGTCAAACAGTCCGAACTAATTGAAACACCTGTTTTGCCTTCCTCCCACCTGTGCTGGTGCTGCACCAAAAGAAATGACACAAAAGCCTCAGAGGAAGACATGGGCGCAACTTAATTATTCACAAACTGTAAATAAAGATGGAGTGGCATCAAATTGTGTCGATGTTGTAGGATTTCTTTTCTTTTTTTTTGTCTGTGGTAAAAGACCACAAGCCATTTCTCCCTTCAGTGCTCAACACATGTCTGTTTTTATGTTTACCCAAAATGCCTAGCGTTGCAGTCTGCTTCCTGCTTTTGGAGCAGTATTTGATCTGCGTGGCAGTTTCAGCCGAACAGAGACCGAGGTTTTCAGACAAACCAGAGTTTTGCAAAGTTCAATTGCACACTCACACCTCCTCAAACAAACCAGACTCTCGAGGCAAACAAACTAGAGTTGGATTAAACAGGCCTGGTGTGAAATGTGAAGACGTTTTCAGCTTTAATACAATCAAAAGAAAAGAAAAGTGGAAACTACTTTCAGGCACAAAGATCCACATTGGTGCTTTTGAATAAAAACAGCTTAGCTGCATTTGTTTGATGGAAATGCTTAGGGGTGTTAATAATTGTAGAATTAGTTACTTCTATAATAAGCAATTACTGATTTTTACCCCGCTGATTTAGCCTGCTATTTTTAACTTAGATGATGCTGTGGCTGCAATCGCAAATTTATTTTCAGGTTTTCAACGCACCTTCACCAGGGATGGCAATAAATCTGAAGGATGCACCCTATAAAAGAGTGGCGTGTGTCCGGAAATCCACTCTTCATCTCCATTTCTTTGTGTTTATTGAGTTCACCATGTGGTTGCATACCAACATGCTTTAGCGCAAAAACGCCCGAGCCTCATCTGCTCACCTCCCACTTGGTCTCCTCCAGCCGAGGCCCCAGCTGGATCTTCTCGTGTTCATAGGAGGTGCAGCGCTCCTCCAGCTGCTCCCTCTCCTTTAAGAGTTGAGCAAAGTCCTCCTGCAGCTTCTTCTTCTCCTGCTGGAGCTGATAAACCTAAATGGCATAAAACATACTTTTGAGTTTGTATTTTGGAAAGAAAAAGACAACATTAAAGAGTTCGTTGAGGGGGATTTTAGTGGTTTAAACATACAGCCTCCCACTCTTAAATCTCACCTTTGTCGTCTTATTAGGATGCTAAAGTTTTAATTTTTATAGCCAACATCAATGTTTATTAGTCAAAACATTTGTATTCATCTGTTTTGGTTTCTCAAAGTAGCTACTCTGCACTCCAGACATTTAGTCCACATTCAATCCTTCCTGTACTTTTAATACTGTCTGTTTTTAAAGACAGAGGGACTCTAAAATTTGGGATGATTTGAAGTTTGGTGATGATAAACCGAGGGTTTCAATGCTCTGCGAGATTTGTCGGTTTTACTCTGAAGCACAGGTGTTCGTTCTAACCTGCAGCTGCAGCACCTGTTGAGCACGCTGGGCCTTCTGAGACGCCACCTGCATCCTGGTGGCACAGCTCTGTCTCAGCTCCTCCAGCTCCAACTCAAAGCGCTTCTGCTTCTCCTCGTAAACCTAAAGCGTGAAAGGATTACGCTGAAATCTGTTATCGGGGCAAGGAATGACTCCTAGCAAGTCTAGAAGAAGAGTTTTGATTCGAACAAACCTGACAAATGGCAGCTTCATTATCGTCCAGGTTGTCTTTGAGTTGCTGCAGCTCCAGCTCCCTCTCTCTCAGTTTGTCCTCCAGGTCCCTCACCACGCCCTCGTAGCCCTCCACGGGGCCGGGGGAGCGTCCGCCGGAACCGCTGTCGGACAGAGGTTGACCCCGGCCGCTTATGGAGCCAGAGCCCGTGCTCTTACTGGAGGACGAGCGGCCGCTGTCTGAGTTGGTGTGTCCGTGCGTGCCGACCGATGGGACGCTCCTTATGGGCTCCAGGTGACCTGCAGGGACCTCGGCCGACGCAACACTGTAGGTGGCACCGTTGTAAGGCGGCAGGCTGGAGAGGGAGTTGCGGCCCGAGTCGGACAACGAGCAAGACTGGCTGCTGCCGCTGCTGGCGTTGCGACCGCCGCTGTAGGAGCTGCGTTTCTCAGAGCAGGACGGGGACACCTCCCTGTTGGCAGGGCTGAGCAGGTTCAGGTTGTTTTGGCCTTCAGGGGCACTGGCACCGTGGCGAGGGGAGAGATACTGCATGGCGGAGCGGCTCTTGGGAATGACAGGTTTGAAGGCAGTGGGCCGCAGCACTGTTTTCTCCATGTTCTGGTAGAATACGAAACAGCAAAAAACATAGGAAAGGCAAGAAGCAAAGAGTGACAATTTAATGAGTTTAAATTTAAGTAACAGAGCAAACGATATTAGACATGGTCCGGGTAAATAATACACCCAGCGAAGTTTAAACAACACCGCCCCTGTTTCAGGGATCAAAAAAGGCTGTAACTGAACATATCAGAAACCAAATAAACCAACATTGGCAGGAATTTGTTCGTGAAACAAAGCAAAGTAGAATCTATTCCGAGGTCTTTTCTACTGGCCAAATACATTATAGCTATGAAGAACATGAATGCATGTCACTTCAAATGCCTTATCCTACCAAATACTGCAGCAGTCAGTTGCCACAGTGACATTACACACTGATACTGCAATCACAATTGAAATTCGATATGTTGTGCAGTTCTAATCCAAGTCCTAATGCTGAAAAAAATATTTTAAAAAAAATCTTTCATTGATTATCATTTCAAGAATAACGTAGTCAAAAGAATAATAAATAATAACCGACTAAAATCATAAATATTTCTCATTACTACCCGTTATTTCCTGACTGTTGTGTTTCTACCAGCAAACTCTCACCTTTTCCAGTTTTCCTGACACTGGGATGAGTCTCGGAGGAGGTCCCCCCACGTTCCCATTCAACCCGAGACCCTCTTTAGTCTCTTCCAGCTCGCTTTCCAGGCTCGGAGGTCTAACAAGGTTGTCGTTCCAGTCCCCCACATAGTCCTCATTAAGATAAGTATAGTTCCCGTTCCGACACTCCTTCTCCAGTCCTCTGCCAGATGTTGTGGAGTTCTGTTTCTTCGGCGGTGGGACGTTTTGCAGCAGTGGGTCTCTGGGTGACTCGGAGCCTAAGCAGGAAGCCCCTGGCGTTGGCCGCCGACCTCTGCCCCCCAGCTCTACAGCAGAGCGGGCGTCCTGGTAGGGATTGGGACGTGTGGTGACGAGGCTACTGCCTGAGCCCATTGGGTCCAGAATGGGTGGCGGCAGGTGGATGGGGGGTGAAGGGCCAGACTGGTGTCGTCGGCGAGCTCCTCCACTGTGGCTGGGGGTGTGAGGCTCAGCAGATATGGGGAGAGCCTGAACCAGGGCCATGGTGGCAGCTCCGAGGGGTCACTTGCACTAAGAGAAGAAAGTAAGTTGAAGATTGAGGAAAAAAAAAAACTTAAGGCCTATAGACTCTTGTAGGTTCAGCACAACATTGTCCTATATTTGCTGAAGTAAGATTCTGAAGTAACTAACTGACCCCTGAAGATATGCTGTGGATTCCGGTACCAAAAAGTTAGCAGTCAATCCTTTAAGTCATGTACGTTGTTAGGTGTGTCCACTGATTGGATCCGTTTGTCCAGCGTAACCCTCATGGTTGGATTGAAATGTGAGGAATTTGGAAAGCTACCACCATTCCAGAACCATTTTTGTGCTTCTGTAAGGGTGCATTATCTAGTTCAGGGCTATGCTAATGCTAATGACCTCATTATTTGACTCGGGTGCGTTGCAGGACACAGGTCCTCGGGGTGTGGATTCGAAGATCTAGTTGAAAGAGGTCATCAAGGAGCAATGTTTGCATGAAAAGTCAATGGTCAGCAAGAATGCTTAGGTAGGCGCTACCTACCAAAACAATTCACAAGGACGGTAGGACCCAAGGTGTCCCAGCAAAACATTGCCTAAACCAACACACTGCCTTCATTTGGAAAACGTCTTGATATTTCCCAAATGTCCTGCTTTTATCTAGGAAATAAAATTCGTACACTTTCTGTTTCTCAGTCGTCAACACTGTTTTTAGTTCACTGCAAACATTATGCAGTAAACTACAGCCTTAAAAAATTCCACACACACACACACAGAGAACCAGGACGGGGGCCATTCAGTAAATCCAGCCAAGCAGCACAAACTTTGGCTGCAGCCACAAGGCTTCTGAGTCAACACAAGGAAGGGTTCGCCTGATCCGAGACGTAAAACTTTGACCCACATGCTGGCAATTTTCTTTAGAGCAGCAAAACGCTACTGTCTCCAAACATCCAATTAGTTGTGGTAGCAACTGAAAATTCACAGCTGTGGATAATCCTCCAACGGTGCAGCACAAGGAGAGAGGAGACAGGTTAAACCTGCTGGGATACTTTGACGGCCAAAAATTCCTGAGCAAATCCGTCGACATGCGTTTGCGGGAATAATATGGGGGGAAAGTCAAACTCGCCTGTTTATTCCGTCACCTTCACAGGGCTGAAGGTAAATACTGACAACATATGGCTGACAACAGCAGATTTTCTTTTTTTTTTTTTTTTTTTTCGGGGGGGACTGCTGAATTTTTGTTTGGCGAACAATGGCCAACGGGATACTTGTTAGTGAAGTCATGCTGCGTTTGAAAACATAAACACGGCGAGTCAGAATATGAGGATATCCGGCATGCGGGTTGTGTTTTGTTCAAACGTTTCAGAAAGATGACGGAATAAAAAATTTTTTTGTCACTTTACTTCCTCTGTAACCCTCTTATCCTGAGAAACCCTTCATGAATAAAGACCTGAAGTAATATCACAAACTAGCAAAGACGGTAAACGAGGTAGAAGAAAAGCTGACAGCTGGAATGCTGGGCAGACGCATTTCTGGAGCAGAGCAGCAAAATAGACGCCAGACCAGGTTCCAATGTGCCAACTTTATAACACTCCTATAAGGCCACTTGTATGATTTGACTGATTAGTAGATGTTAATCGGCGCCCTTTAAGCCTGGCTGATCCCTACTTCGACTCTGACAAACGTGGTTCTACAGTGTGTTATGATGCATGGAAAAAAAACAGGATTAAATCATGCGAGTGCATTCTTGGCTTGTTTTTTGTCTTTGTGTTTTGATACAATGATAAAGACAAAGCATTCTTAATAAATGGAAGTATTATTAGCTGCGGCATGTGGAGCTGTTAAGAGTTTCAAACAAATGTGCTACAGAGATTAAACTTGTGAAGATCAGCTGTAGGCCAGCAGCAGAGAAGGTGCTCCACAAAGCATTCAGTTTGGAACCGTTACCGTACATGTTCCTCACTTTTCTTCGTGCACAGTTCCTGTTTGGACACTAGTGCCACAAAGTCCCGAACAATATATTTGGATGGACGTTTACTGTCCTTTACGCCCATACCCGATATAGATCTTAGTGACCAAGATCAGAAACTCAAGGAGTTTAACAAATACATCATCTTGCAGTTGTTTTTATTGGATCATTCCTTCTGATCAAGAAGAGTCCATTGCTGTTCAGAGAGAAATGAATGAGCTCTAATCCCCCAGGAAACTATGCAGGGCCCCTTATAAGCAAGGCATAAGGGTCTCGACTGTTTTTAAAGCCTCTGCCATGATCATGCAGTCCTGGTTTCCCTTTTGTTGCCATAGAGACGAGGGCCTCAAACATTAAAGAAGGGAAAGTAAAGGGAGGGGGGCTAGGGGAAAGGGTCAGAGAGGCCAGGACCCGCCTTAGCATCTTAAAAACTTCAATCATTTTATGGCTCTCGCAGTCGTCCATACGAGGCCTAATGGAGAATAAATGGACATTTACAGCTAATGACTAAAAGATGGATGTTTGCTCTCTATTACAGAGTAGAGAGCAAAACTCTAAACTTCAAGCAGAGCTCTAAGTTTTACAATATGACAAAAAAAAAATATGGTTGTAAAATTAAATAGGCGATTTACACCCACTGCTTTAGACAGTCAAAAACCCATTGAAGCAATTACTGCAAATGGACCACATCTGACAGGAACAACAACAAACACGGTACAGCATGTAGGCGACATTTCAGCTGCCCACATAAAGTCTACGCTGTCAGCTGATTCTGACGGAGCAGACTGTTTTTGTCTGGGGAAAGCCTTTAAGGGTTTTAATGCCTTTCAGTCACTCCTCCGACCGGAGGAATGTGTGCTGCTCCAGCTGAGGAGAGCAAACAAATTGACCCGAGATGTTTTCTTATAACGATCACAACTAAAAGAAATGCAAAGAGCTTCTACTGAATTTGTTGTAAGATTGATTTAAACGGAGCAGGACAAGGAACAACAATGTGATGAACAGGAAGGAAAGACCATCCTGTTGACATCCAGTGGAACATTAACCATTATTAGTGTCCTGCTAAGCCCGCTTCCCTGGTTAACTAGAAACACTTGGCCGGATGTCACGCAAAATCCACTA